CCCCCCCCCGAGCCTCCTCAACCAAAATTATGCTCCGCATTCCCCCTCTAACATTATACATTTATTAATAGAGTTGCTTGTTAGTTCTCTACTCTGCTTCGAAGACTTTTCTCCGGATCCTCCAGTTTTTCTCCCTCCGCAAAAATCACCTTCCAAAAAATCCGCCTCAGAAGACTCGAACGACACACTTTCTGCTCTTCAACGAAACAAATAGGTTTCAGTTACCAATAATTTACTTACAGCACAGCCATATTGGACCCCTCCAATTGCTATTGCCTCCGAACATGAAGGTATTAGACTCCCCTGGTACATATTCCACACTGTATACTTCCTCGCCCACTTTAAGGCTGTATGGGTTGTCCTTGTGATAGAGAGATAGGGAACGAATACCATAAGGTGAGAGGAACTCATTCTCATCCAGTACGTGTTTGAGTACTCGGCAAAGCTGGTCTTTGGTGGGAATTGCCAGTAAATGATGGTATTTGCTTTGGCCGTCAGTTTGCATGTAGGATACCTGGAAAAAAATGAAAAGAAAAATCTATAAATCATCATCATCATCATCATCATCACTGATCATCATCATCATTATCATCGATCATCTTCATACATACACATATATCATCATCGACCATCTTCATACATACATACACATGCATCATCATCACTGATCATCATCATCGATCATCTTCATACATACATACATACACATACACCACCACCATCAATATCATCATCAGCATCAACATCATCATCATACATACATACACCACCACCATCAACATCATCATCATCATCRATCATCTTCATACATACATACAAATACATCATCATCACCACCATCATCTCTGAAGAGTCAAACTTTACCTGAGACGCCAAGTCTTTTCTGTTTCCCAAAAACCAGTCAAGTCGTTTCTTGAAGCCAGGCAGTTTCTCAACAAATTCGTCTTCAAGGACGAGACAAGAAAAGAGAGGAACGATTCCCACCATGGAGCGCACCCGCAGTGGCTGGCTCTTCTTTGATATAGGACACATAAGATGATCATAGTAAAAGCCATCCTCCTCATCCCACAAGCCTAAGCCATCACCCATTGTATTCATAGCATCAGAGATTTGAGTGAAGTGTTCAAAAAACTTGGATGCCATGTCTTCATAGGAAGGGTCATGTACAGCGAGGTCCAAGGAAATACCAAGCATTACAGCACAGTAGAAGGCCATCCATGCGGTACCATCGGCCTGTAATACGATATAAGGAATATCAATGACATGATTACCCCACCCCATACAATCAAATAACACAGGCATCCCAGCACAGTAGAAGGCCATCCATGAGGTACCATCGGCCTGTAATACGATGTAAGGAATATCAATGACATGATTACCTCACCCCATACAATCAAAAACACAGGCATCCCAATAAAATAGAACGCCATCCATGTGGTTCCATCAGCCTGTAATAGGCTATAAGGGATATCAATGACATGGCTACCCCACCCCATACAATCAAATAACACAGMCATCCCAGTACAATAGAACACAATCCATGTGGTTCCATCAGCCTTTAATAGGATATAAGGGGATATCAATGACATGACTACCCCACCCCACCCCAGTTCATACAGCGAAACAACACAGGCATTCTGAAACAACAGAAGGCTATCTATGGGGTACATGTGGCTGGATACAAGGGATATCAATAAAATGACGTCACTACCCCAGCCGGTAGTAACCCACTCCATGAAGTGAAACGACACAGGCATAGGCAACACAAAACTATGAAGGACCATCAGCCTGGCTATAATGGGAGACATGGCAGGATATAAATGCCATGGCATTCTAACAAAACAGAAAGCATCCATGCGAGCATCCATCAGCTCATATTGGGATTTCAACATGGTGGATCAATGACACATTAGAAAGGAAAAACACAAGCATTCCAATAGGAATATAACTATGTAGTTCTGTTGGTCATGTATGACTTGGTCATAATCAATGATTTCAATAAATAATCATGTTTATACCTGCATAAGGCTGCCTTGTACTGGAAGGTCCTTTGAGCGATCAAAGATCCCTAAAAATCAAAGGGGAAATGTAGAACACATTTAATCCATAATTCATAACACAGTTTATTCCTTTTCACATTTCTATAACCCCATGGGGAAAACCCTCCAATCAAAGGAGAGACCTAACAAACTCTACTCACAAGTCCAGGAATTGAACCCAGAGACACCAGGGCTGAGAGGAGAGTGCACTTCCACAGGTATACCACTCACAGTAAAACTCAGCCTGGTAATAAAAGTGTCACACGAAGCTTACCTATGTTATCCAGGCCAAGAAATCCTCCACCAAAAAGATTGTTGCCTGTTGGATCCTTCCTGTTCACCCACCTAACAGAAATTATGACAAATTATGAATAACACCACTTATTTCTTTATTATATCATCAGATGAATGAATGAAGGACAGAGGAGACTTTTTTGGGCCAGTGATTTTTTAAATACATGTAAAAAATATTCATAAGGTTTGTACATGCAAATATAATACAAAAATAAAAACCTGCCAAAACAAGCAAACCAGAAAAACTGGTTTCAATTCTTGGATTGGGTTCGTCCAGTGTCCTTTAATAAACATGGGTTCTTTGAATGCGATTCCATCGATCTTCTGTAGTTAAATAATTAAGGTGCATGCTGGTCTAGCTTGGGTACAAACAATACCAAATAAGACATGATGAAGAAAAGATTTTTAGTACAGAAGCTAGACAACAATGCACCATTTTTGCTATTTTACAATTACAATTACAATTACAATTTATTAATATTTAAAGATCATTTACAATAGTTAAATAAAATACACTCCCCGCAAATAGCTAAGCAAGTCTGGGCAGATTTGTGTGCTATTTTAGAAAAGTTCAATGTCAGAACATGTGCAATGCCTTTCTGGCCTACCAGGTAAAGTTTATTAAAAGCTTCTGGAAACATCTGGCCAGGAACAGCTCATCTCTGTGTCCCTTTCTTCCTGTCATCTTGTAAACAAAGTGACATGCCATAGCGTGAACAGGGGGGTTGACATCACTAAGAGCAAACTCATAGGCAGGCATCTGACCATTAGGAGCCATGTACCACTCACGTAAAAATAACATCAGCTGATTCTTGGCAAACTCTGGATCAATTCGAGCCATGGGTTGCATGTGGAAYGCTAAATCCCATGTGGCATACTGAATAAAAAACATTACATTATCTATTTTTTGGCTGGAATGAATTGGAAACTAGGTATGAATCTCTGAAGCTCAGAGACTGGGCAAAGCATTTGGGCCTCTATATATAGGCTTGGCATCACCATAACAGGAGGTATGAACATTTGAATTTGGTTTAATCTAATTTACACGAGAAAGAGTTCAGTTTCCCAGGGGAATAAGACTCTATTGCTGCGCCTCCTGTCATGCATGGCTGCCATCATTGTGCTTTAGAGAAAGCGGCTTGACATTCTCTAAACCAAAACTCACCCAAGGGTACTCCCACTTGTCCGGCATGGACACGACATCTCTGTTAAACAAGTGCCTCCACTCTGGGTTAGAATTTCTCCCTGACAGTCTAGATGCTGGCGGCGTAATGGTTYCTGGGTCACCCTCTAGCCAGTCATTGATGATGTAGTGATAAAACTGTTTGGTCCATAACAAACCAGCATAGGCCTGGCGGCTAACTAGAGCTTGTTCAGCAGAAGAGGCTGAAACAATAGGGCAGAAAACTTTTGAATCTGTTTCAGATGAAAGATCTTAAAGACTGCATCAATGCAGAGACCAGGATATTGCATGCTACCAACCCAGAACACTTGAAGAAAATGAAGTGCAATAATACGCTCATCCAGTATAAATTAAAATAGCTCAACAATTGTTTCCTTACATGGAATAACAATCTYGTAAAATTCATCAGCCTCCTTCTTCCTACGTTCCAGTACAGCCCCAAAGGACCGCTCAGAAAAAGGGTCCTTGACGACCTCATCTAGGGCCATAAGACGACATCTCATTTTGCACTCTCCCCCAGAAGGGACTTCTACCACGTAATAGGGAGCCACCTTGGTTCCGTGTCTTTTATCGTTGACAGCATCTTTTTGTCCTTGAATGATGTAGCGATGGAATGCATCCTTTGTGTATTTGGTATACGTTGGAGAGTTAAATAGAAGCTGCAGTATAAAGAGTTTACAGCTATTTCAAAAACGTTTGTGAAGGTTATTGGCAAGTTGCATGTTGTATGTTGCATACCAAGCCCAAAATGCACTATGAACCATGTGAATCCAATCAGCAAAAGATCAAAACAATATGGAATTTATATGTAAAGTCTGCAATTTTCCCTGTATAATTTCCAGGGGTTTGTAAAGCATAATGTTGGTAAGACATGTTGCTAGGTGTAGATCATCATTGTCATCAACTTTATCATCCACATCATCTTCATCATCATCAGTCATCATCATCATCATCATCACCACCAGCACCGGCACCATCATCATCATCACCACCAACACCACCACCACCATTATCATCATCATCATCATCACCACCAGCACCACCACCACCATCATCATCATCATCACCAGCACCATCATCATCATCATCACCAGCACCACCAACACCACCACCACCATTATCATCATCATCATCATCTTCCAAAAATTATAAATATGTATAAGAAAAAAAGAAACTACAAAAAATATATATAAAACATACTTCAGAATTAGTCTCATTCTCAGTAAACAACATAGTAACAGGTTTACCATCTTGTCCAACATCAGCAACAAATATATACTTTCCCAAAGTTTCTTGCCAACATTCAACAGTACATGTATCGGTCTCCTTGATCTTTGCTTTCTGTGAGCATCCCTCATGCTTACACCCCCAGATCCAGGTGTTTCTGAACCATAATGTTGGTAAGACATGGAGTCTGGCTTTCTCTGGGCCATGATTTGTGACTGTGATGTTGATTAAGATGTCATTGGGGGTGTTCTTGGCATATTCTGCCTGTATATCCCAGTAGCGACCATCTTCRAACACACCTATAGAGACAGACAGAACAAAGACAGACAGACTTTAATACAATCAGTGCACTTATTATCAATATTAAAAATATCTTCAAATTTATCTTAAACAAAGTCTGTGCATAAGTAACTCACAGATGTAATTGGAAGTTAAATTGTTAGGTTTCTGTAGAGGGAGAAGCAGCTTGAGATTCCCAGAGAAAATTCTCTAACATGTCATCATCAAATGCTAAAGCAATGCCTTATCGCTTTTATGATAGTATTATTATATTAGCAGTAGAAGTATAATTACAAAATAGATGCACATTAACTGGTTGAATTCAAAGAAAACAAAAATAAGCACACAAAAAAAAGACACTTAGGGTAGCCCTAGGTCCTCATCTGGGAAAGACCTAACAAACTCTACTCATGTACAGGTACAGGAATCGAACCAGAGACCCTGGAGGTGATTGTATACCCTCAATAGGTTGCTATCAATAGACGTCACTTCCAGTAATAGCTGCGCTTTTAATGCCTTGTAGAATTTTGGAGGTTGTTTTGATCTTTTGTTTTCTGGTTTCATGTCGTAAAAATAGTCAAATACAATAGTTTGGGGATTTAATTTGACATGCTTTGACTTAACATCCGCTAGTTGCCCCTCAGTCAACCGCTTGTTTGCCCCCCAGTCAACTCCAAAAAGTCACGTGAATGATAGTAAGCAATTCCCTTGACCCAGGGAGGGGAGGGGACTGATCTACCCTCACCCCCTCYGGGGTTTTAACAAATATCTATGGAAAAGGTCAAATTAGTACCTGCATCATTGAGTTCAAACTCTGGTTCAAATCTGGACCTCCTCTTGTTCTCCTCCACCAACAAGCTGTAAGGGTACTCATTCTGCGGGTATTTGTATAATGCTTTCATGTATGAGTGGGTTGGAGTTGAATCAAGGTAGTAGTAACACTCCTTCACATCCTCACCATGGTTACCTGGGAAATAGAACAAAATACATAAATGTAAAATATGGTTATTCAATTTGTTGTGAAATGTGATCGTCCAGGTGAGTGTAGTCTWGAGAAAGACTGTTGTTGGTGTTGGTGTTGGTTGTTGTCACTAAAAAATGAGCCAGCTCAACTAGAAACCATGGACAGCGGTTTTGGCCACTGTTTCTAGTTGAGCTGGCTCATTTTTTACGTGACTTGAAGTTGTGAAAGGCTYATTGGCCCTCTTCTTCAGTCGTTTCATACAAGGCTCATAATTTACCTATTACACATATGTTCTTAATATACGATTTCCGAGCCCATCCCATACAGCTTACTTAAAACTTAACTCAAACTAAACAATTGCAAGTTAGCTGTGCCCAGACAAAACATCCCAGAGGCTGTTTCAGAGTATTGATAATATTTGAAAGTACAACACCCCAACTTTAACTATACCTTCAGTTCCAGTCAAACCAAACAGTCTTTCTTTCAAAATAGGATCCTTTTCATTCCAAAGGGCAAGTCCAAAACATAACCTACACTGGCGATCAGTTATTCCAAGTAGACCATCTTCACCCCAGCGATAGGCTCTTGATCTGGACTGGTCGTGTGAGAAATAATCCCAACTAAATTTWAAAAATTAATATGCTGAATATGAGTTGCTTGAGCTAAGACTGTAGTTTCAGAAATTATCCATAATCCCCCAAGACCTTGATTAACTGCAGCTAAACTTGTTTTCATTGCGACCTTTCCTTTACGATAAACTGACTCAAAATACAGCGTTAGAAAATTTTCTATATTATTTGAATATCATTCTATCTATAAGCTGTAAATTGTATCATATAGTTAATGTAATCTCAAAACAAGTTATATTATCTGCCCTGACCCTGTACGTATTTAAATAACTAGCTTATTAGATACTTGAACTGTGAACACGACCTCTTAATACTCACCACGAGCCATCAGCTGAGTAGTCTTCCCGTACCGTCCCCCACTGTCTCTCAGATAAGTATGGCCCCCATCTTTTCCAGTTTTTCTTTCGTTCCTTGTCTTCAAGTAGGCGTTTAGACTCTGCCGTGTCGTGCTCTAGCACGTAAACATAGTTATTCTTGTGTAGAAGCTTCTTATCCATTGATAAAAGCTTTTTTAGCAGTGTTTTGTAATAAAGAATGAAGCATAAAAACGATGCACGTCCGCCTTAGAATTAAAATAAACACCCAAGGTTCTCATTGTTAACACAGGAACCCCAACCACCACTAACTTGGTGCCTAACTAATACTGTTCTTTTCTTTCCACTCATTTATTTTCCGTTTCCCCCTTCGTTTACTTGTTTCTTTTTCCCTCACCTGTCTAAGTATTTTCGAGTATTTTCTTTTTTTGTCTTCATATGTCAGCAAGACGAGAAAGGAAGACAGCCAGGTGCTGACCTTACAGGGACCTTGGAGGGGGTGGGGCAGGGGGCTACAGCCTACCTTCCTTTTTCCCATTTCCCATACTAGTCTCTTATGTTTTCCAATCTTTATACCCCCCCCCCCTACTTATTCCCATACTAGTCTCAATCTTAGCCCACTTTTTTGGGTGCTCTGTGGCTCCTTCCTTACTATTTAAAAACACATCAAACAACATTGAATTGCCACAGTTTTATCAGTTTATTCTAAAATTTTAATCTTAATTCATTTAAATTAACTGGTTCTAATTTCTCTCTTCTTTATAGTAAACTTTAGTATGTTCACTGAATTTTTATCTTAAGATCGCTTACATGAAGGAAGTGTACTTGGTACTACTTAACCAACAGGTTTTTGTTTTCCTTCCTCAGGCCGGGGAGCTACTGTTTTAGGTGCTATTAACTTATTTTAATAAGTTTWTTTTATTTTAAAGTCATCTTACATTTACCTACTGCTTTAAGCTATCCATTATATATTAAAAATACTTTATTTTCCAGTGTTAATTTTTAATAATTTTGTTATTGCTATGTTTATATTATTTTCTGAGGATTTTATCAAAAAATCTTACGTTAAAAATAAACTGTTCTAATTACAGTCACATCTTGAAAATGAGTATATATGTTTCTTTCTCACGTTGGCATGCTAGTAACCACGACATTAACTTTGTAGCACGATTCCCACGCGCAGTGAATAGTAGGGGTTTGTACCGTATTTTTCCTGAAAGGCATCCCATGATGCATTGTGCTCTAGCACATAGACATATTTGTTTTGGTGTAGCACCTTATTATCCATTGATTGAAGCTATTTTAGCAGTATTTTTTTTTGAAATAAAAAAATGAAGCATAAAAACGATACACGTCCACCTACATTGATTGTGCAGTGGATGTTGGGACAAAATTCAATTGATTTCGACCATATAAAACCGAGTCGAGCTTTTTGTGTAGTCTCCCTCGCATCCGTTTTTAGTGTCGGTCGACCGACACTAAAAACGGATGCGTGGGAGACTAGCTTTTTGTGTGCTGAATTTAATTGGATAAAAGAAAGCAAGGCAGCTTATTTCCCTTTGTTTTCTTGCATTCAGTTCATAAAAAAAGTTTGACGCCTGGTCCACGCCTAAGTTATTCTCAAAGAAACCAGCAAGCAACGTGAAAGCAACATGATTGTCGGGGGTTCGTGGTTATCGTAATGGAAGACGAGCGGACGGACAGACAGACGACTTATCTGTTTGACGCAAGTTTGTCAAGCAGACGAGACACCAGGGTAGAGTTGTGGCTGAAAAAATAGTAAGCAATTTCATAATTATTTAGCATTCAATAGACCTCTTTACCAGGGTATCATTTCAGTCTTTGTTTAAAGGTTACGCACGAGAGGACACATGAATATGGATACAACTCAAACAAAGAATCTTATTTTCAAGACAATGACATAGCTTGTGACCAGTCTACCTCTGAAATTCATAAATGACGTCATTTCCTGTGTACCACATACCTTGCTCCGTAACCAAGTCCGTTATCAGCATTAAAATACTCATAAAACTGTAACAGTTGGTTCCAGTAGACGTCATACGTGTACTTTTCCCTGTTCCCRTAGCAAGGGCGACGCCCATGGTCGTTAGGAAGAAAGAGCGACACCAAGCGGCGGGAGAGCTCTAGAGCCACGTCATGAAGGCGCAAACGGTTCCCAGAGTACGATGGGAAATCTACTTTGAATGTGTCGCCGTAGAAGAAGTCGTACCTCTCAAGAGCGTCCACGATTAGGTAGTTTACTGGAAAATTGGAAAAACAGAGGAAAATAATTCTTAGGGTTCATTCAATGAGGGGAAAACARGAACGCCGAGGCCCCCACGCTTTTAGCCAAAAATTATTTTCTGTTATGAGTTGCTTAAAGCTTTGACATAACTTTAGTGCTCAAAAACCGAGGCACAGGAAATCGCATTCCCGAGAGCTTTAATTTTATAAAAAATTTCAAAGGAGTGGGAGCATTKGCTGACATATTTTATGTCTTTTACCAATAATAGATAACAAACATCGATACACTGTAATACCCAAAGAATTTGCCGACTCCATCCCGGTTTCATATGCTTCGTTCGTTACGCACAAAGGTTTTTGTACAAAGCTATGTGCAAATTTAAATTTATTCCTTTCTCCTGTCACGAATCTCTGAGCATTATGCATGAAAGTCACACAGTGAAGCCTTTGTGCGTGACAAGTGAAGCATATATCGCATATCTCTGTATTCAGATACTCACTGCCAAGCCAAATCGGGCCGTGCTCACTTGTGTTTCCCACTGATTCCTCTGCAATATAACGTCCTTCATATATGACCTTTCTAATCTCCTCTAGTTCCTCTGTAGTACATACACAGCTCACCTCCACTGGACAATCCTTGTGAACCAATGATAGCGAGCGGATGCCAAAAGGAGAGAGAAACTCCTTATCGTCCAGCATAAACTTGAGCACGCGGGATAATMTTTCTCTGGAGAAAATAGCCAGGAGACGATGACGCTGACTTTCACTGGTTGGATCCAGGAGAGAAATCTTAGTGAAAAAAAGAGATTAACTGGGTTTTAGAAATTTTGGTGTGTGTAATGAATGAACAAATTACATCACAGCTAAGCGCGAGTGGTGTGCGCTGGTTTGACTGATTCCCGCGGGCTCGGTGTCGTATGTGAGTAACGACTTGGGCCCAGTTGTACGAAGGGTGGATAGCGCTATCCGAGGGATAAATCTTATCCAGTGGATAAATTTATTGCATAACAGCATCGACTTATCCACTAGATAAGGATTTATCCGTTCGATAGCGCTATCCACCCTTCGTACAACCGGGCCCTGTTGGTTTTCTTCCTTGTTTCAAGGGTCTTCTTCCTTCTTCGCAAAAAGTTATCTGCTAAATTTCGATTTGATGTGGCGTCGAGTGCTTTAGTTACGTTGGCTCGCGCGGGAAATTGCCCGAGCACTCACTCCATGCATGTTCCACGTAAAATAATATCATTTACATTCACATTTTTTACAACAAATTCTAACATATTCAATAAAAGATGCAAAAAATAAAAATTTGAGAAAGTTAAAAGAAAAATGAAATTCCGGGAAAGCGTAATGTTAGTTTAAAAAACGATCGAAGAAAAGAATTAAGATCAACTATATTTTTAGTACTGCTTCATTCATAACGATTGCCAATGAATTTTTGAGGTTTTTTTTTGTTTGTTTGTTTGTTGTTGTTGTTGTTGTTTTGTTGTTGTTTTTTTTCTCGCTAAAGATTCGTATAAAGGGAAAAGGTGTCTCATGAGATTCGTCTTTACCTTGGAAGCCAAGTCGGGTTTATTCTTCAGAAGCCACTCCAAGCACTTCCTGAAGGAAGGTAACTTCTCGACGTGCTCGTCTTCAATCACAGTACAACACAACATGGGAATGAGACCCGAGATAGAGCGCATGTGCAAGGTTGAGCGGGAATTTTTACTGGTGTGGACATGGTCATAGTAGAAGCSATGTTCCTCGTTCCACAAGAATCCTGGGGTGTTGTTCATCACGTCGGCTATTTGAGTGAAGTGCTCGAGGAATTTGGACGCCATGTCTTCATAGGAAGGGTCATGTACAGCGAGGTCTAAGGAAATACCAAGCATTACAGTACAGTAGAAGGCCATCCATGCGGTACCATCTGCCTGTAATACGATATAAGGAATATCAATGACATGACTACCCCACCCCATACAATCAAATAACACAGGCATCCCAGCACAGTAGAAGGCCATCCATGCGGTACCAATGGCATGACATGACTACCCCACCCCGCCCACTCCATGGAGGGAAATGACATGAACCCCCCGCCCGGGGCGCAGCAAAGTGTATGACTATAATTTCCTTTAACTCTAACTTTCTGTATGCCAAACGCATCGCAGAAAAAAAAATCAAGCCCACAAATCTGTGAAGTGCTGAACGTCATACCTGGACCACAGTCTGCTGTTCTTGTTGTTTGTTTTCTGCTGTGCCACACGTAAAGGATTCTTCCTTTACTGTTTTACCTGACAATTAGATTATAAACTGTTAATCAATCTATCAATCAATCAGTCAATCTATCAATCAATCAGTCAATCTATCAATCAATCAGTCAATCTATCAATCAATCAGTCAATCTATCAATCTATCAATCAATCAGTCAATGACCTTTAATCAATAAAATAAATATACCGAGAAAATTGAGTATAAAGAGGAATATAAAAGATAATAACAATACATTTATAATACAATGGATATGAATTTTGTGTAAAATATCTTTCTCAAGAANCCTTTAATCAATAAAATAAATATACCTTTCTTATTTACATGTCAACTGGCGATAGACAAACGCTACAAATGTAATGAATAACTAATGTATTGACGCCAAGAAACAAAACAGCTTGGTAAGCAAAGCAGTACGTAATTATCGTAGTTGAACAGGTAATTCATATTTGAAAATAGCTCTATTGATAACCGAGTTTTTAAATCTACCTGTGTTGACTTTAGGGAGTTGCGACTGGTTCAATCTTAATTATCACTGATAACATTTCATTGTATGCTTAAATACAACTGAAGATATTTATGAGAAGAAGCTTTTATTTACCAACAATCCCGTTACCAAAAATACTTTTCCCGAATGCGTCCTTTCTGTTTGCCCACCTATGATGAAGGAAATGGAGTTTTAGAAACTGAACGTCAAAAACAAGGAGAAAAAGAAGAGGACATGAAGTAAAAAGTGAAAGAGGAGAAGGAGAAGGAGAAGGAGAAGGAGAAGGACGGGGACGGGGACGGGGACGGGAGGAAGGAGGAGAAGGAAAGAAGAGGAGAAGGATCTTACCAAGTAAAATTGATGAGCAGTTTATGGAAGCACTTGGCCAAGAAAGCGATGTCTCGATGACCTTTCCTGTCCGTCATCTTGTACAAGCGGTAACACGCATAAGCAAGAACAGGAGGTTGAGCTTCATCGAGGTCTGATTCGGGTCCGGGAATCTGGCCATTAGGAGACATGTACCACTCGCGTAAGAAGAGCAGCAGTTGACTCTTGGCAAACTCTGGATCGACTTTTGCCATAGGAAGCACTTGGAAGGCTAAGTCACAAGCTGAAATCTGGATAATATTGAAAATGACTGATCGATGAATACAACAATGAAAGTGGCTTTAGGAGGGCTGGAAGCGGGGCGGATCTAGGGGAGGGGTGCGGGGGAGCACACCCTCATCCCTAGATTGGCTGATATCTAATGCATTTTGGGTGTTTGAGTTTGTAAGCAAAGAGCGCACCCCCTCCTAAAACGAAAATCCTGGATGGTGCACCCCCACCCCCCTGGAAAAATCCTGAATCTGCCCCTGGTGGGGGAAGGATCTTAGTTTGATCCTCAGTTCCCACCTACCACCGAATCTTCGACCTTAAATAACCTTAAATTTCCCCATTTCAAACCACATATCATCCCCTTTGGCGTAATGACATTATTCACCGCTAACGTATTTAAAGATGCATTTCCATTTTTGTCTCTTGTACGTATTGAGCCAAAAGTGGCAACAGATAAATCTGCAATAGACCACTTTAGCTTGGACGCAATGTTTTCACATTCTCTTGAAAACAGAAGTGTTTGTTTCAGTCGTGTCAATATTCATGTCTTTTCTTCGTATAACATGTAACACAGGAGAAATGCCATTAAATACAAAATTGAATATTTTATAAGGATTTGTATGGGAAAAGAATGTGCTGGATGGCAAGTATTCCGTGCCATTTCTACTATAGTCAACATTATAAGCTAAAACTTTGCCTTCTTACGAATATTGAGGTACTCTTTCCATTTCTGGTGTTCATTTTGACACAACCTCCTTTTTTTACGGGGGAGGGGGGGGTTGGGGTTAGGTCACATGACCTGTTGTTGCAAAAGGCCTATTGCCTGTTAAACAACTTACCGTTGAGTATTCCCACTTATCCGGTACACAAACCACATCCCGTGCATAAAGGTTATTCCAGTCCGGGTTCGAATTTTTCCCCTGATACCGGCTATCGGGTGGGGTTGGCATGTCTTCGTCACCGTCCAGCCAGTCCTTCACGACGTAGTTGTAGAACATTTTGTTCCACAACAGGCCAGCGTAGGCCTGTCTGCATACTGTGCGTTCCTCTGGACTGAGAGAGTCTGTACAAAACGTACATAGTTTATTAGTGTTATATTTATTAGTGAAATCAGTCCCGTAATGAAACAGCTACAAGGTGTAGCCACACTCTTTATTCAATGCTTCCGATTTCCAAGAAACATTAAAATTTCAAACTTCAATTTTAGCTCCCCCGCCCACACCTCTTTCTAATCTGCTATCCAGGCTGGTTATAGCTCCCCCAGGCTAGTAAGTCCCCTGCCCTTTGATACTGGCTCTCCGTCCTTTGGACCAGTGAGAGTGACCAAGTTTTTCTTGGTAGAATCAAGTCACGGCATAATTACAAGTGTCTGCTCGAAGTAATCCCAACATACCAGGTATCACAGCTTTATAAAACTCATCAGCTTCTTTCCTTCGCTTCTCAAGCACAGAACCAAAAGATCTTTCTGCAAAAGGACTTGAAGAGATCTCATTCTCAGCCATCAAACGGCACCTCAAGACGTGATGGCCCCCTGGAGGAACCTCCAACACGTAATGGGACGCCATCTTGGTTCCTCGCTTCTGTGGATTGACGGCAGAGCGTTCGCCGTTTACAACATAACGATGGAATGCGTCTTTGACGTAAGGAGTGTAGTTAGGAGACCCGTTGAAAAGACGCTGCGTAGAAAAATATACATGTAAATATAAAAGAACGTACTAGGAAAGTGACATGTGATTTCCGTYAAACGTCTTAACTGCGCGGCCGTAAAGCATACGAAAAAATACATGCAAATATAAAATAACGTACTAGAAAGGTGATATAAGACTTGGTGAAACGTCCTAACTGTGGCAAAGCGGGTTGGTTTAAAACTCTCAAAATCAGGGTGTTTCAGATTGAAGACAACGAAGCGTTCATTGAAAACAAGGCGGGGTAACATTCTTTTGACATTCGTTTTATGCGTGCGCACTCGTTTTCAAGACTAAAGTCCAGCCTAGGACATCATTTGTACCTTTATTTACGTTTCGATGAGGGCCATAGACTTAAAGAGGACAGTGCGCACGTGATGTGCTTGCACTGTCGACCGAAGGAAAGCGCAATTCTTTACTGTTAATAGACTTCTTTATCTTGGGCGCAATGTTTTCCTATTTCAGACCATGTGTCATTTTCTTGAGAATAATATTCTTTACTTGAGTTGTATCTATATTCATGCGCAACCGCTAAACAAAGAAATACTACTCTAGGGAATGACACGTGGTCATGACATGTGGTCTAAAACGGGGAAAATGTTACGCCCAAGCTAAAAAGGACTATTACTTAAGAGCGCAGCAAGCATTTATTCGATTCTTACCCAAGTGTTTGTCTCATTGTCAGTAAACAGCATTTCCGGCATTTTATTATCAGGGCCAACATCATTAACAAACATGAATCCTCCAAACCCTTCATGGAAGCATTCAGCTGCACCAGGGCTTGTCTCGACAATCGCTGGTTTACCAGTCCACCCATCRTGTTTGCAGCCCCAGATCCAAGTATTTCTATACCACAGGGTCGGAAGGACGTGAATCCTTGATGTGTCTGGGCCACGGTTGGTTAACATGATGTTGATGAGGATGTCGTTAGGGGTGTTCTTGGCATACTCTATGTCGATGTCCCAGTAACGGTTGTTATCAAAAGCACCTGTGAAATGTTTATATATGGAAGTCACTTGATCATCCTTGAAGAAATAGAAAACGTGCAAGCGTGCTGGGTGGGTGTGCTGGGTGCGCATGCTGGGTTTGACAGAACACAAGAGAAGTGCAGTTAAGAAAAGCATGACCCATAGCAGAGTGCTTTTCAACACTTCTTTAGCGTTCTGCCAATCCCCAAGTGCTTTATAGCTGCACACAGCACAGCAAGTTTTGAATTTCTTTTATAAAATACAAATCAGATGCAATATTGCAATAGAAAGTGCGCACTTGTGCTTTGTGCTCTCAGAAAGGAGAGGAGCAGAAAAAGAATGAAAGGAAATGAGAGGAAAGAAGAGTGACAAGTGGAAAAGGAAGGGAAGAGGAGAACTAAAGGTGGGAAAAGGGTGCCGAAGGAGACAAGCAGAAAAAGAATGGAAATGAAATGAAAGGAAAGGAGAGTGAAAAGTGGAAAAGGAAGGGAGGAGAAGGAGGAGCAAAGGTGAGGAAAGGGTGCAGAAGGATGGGAACAGAACAGGAGGAAGGAGAAAAGGAGAAAATGATAGGCAGAAAATAAAAGGAAAGAAAGAGTGAGTGAAAGGTTGAAAAGGAGAGAATGAGAAGGGTTGGCAGAGGTGAGAAAAGTCTGGATAAGAAGGGGAACAGAACAGAAGGGAGAGGAGGGGAAGACCAGAAAAGGATAGGCATGAAATGAAAAGAAAAATAAGAAAAAGAAAGTGAAAACGGGGAAAGGAGGGGAGGAAAAGGAAAGAAGGAGAAATAGCAGCAGAAGTGAGAAAAGGATGGAGAGGAGGGGACATGGCAAATGTAGACAACAAAACCGCATAATGGCAGTTTTGTCAAACCTTCAAGCTAACATCAAAACTCCTTATAAGTCAATTACCCTAAAGCCCACGYTAGTGCCTGTTCACAGGTTTCAATTAATATTTTGGTCTATAGAAAAAAGTCATAAATAATACCTGTGTCAAGCAACTCATATTCTGGTTCATGTCTGGATCGCTTCTTGTTCTCCTCCACCAACAAGCTGTAAGGGTACTCGTTTTGTGGGTATTTGTATAATGCTTTCATGTATGAGTGGGTTGGAGTTGAATCAAGGTAGTAGTAACACTCCTTCACATCCTCGCCATGGTTACCTGGGAGAGTTGTGTGTGTCAGTATCAAACATTAYTTAAATAATAAAATAAATGTATATAAAGGTAGGCTGGCTGCATTGAAGATCAAATACTAGCACTACACATATTTGTGAAAAGATGCATAGAGCATTTGATTTTCACCTCCGTGGTCTTAGGATATATCCTCATGTAATTAGAGTAGCCATTAGTTTGCATCCTTGATTTGAGGGTTTTTCTCTGGGCTCTCTATTTTTCCTCTTTCCACGAAACCTAATGAGTTGAATTTCAATTTATTCTGTGAGTCAGCCATGCCCTTTAATCAGCCTAAAGGGTGTATGATTGAATTGACATATTCCCTTTAAATGCATTTATTATATGACCGTGAATCTTAGAGCCTGGACACTAGCAAATCGAGCAATGTGATTGGATAGGTCGCATCATGGAATGGTCTAGATTCTCCGGTATTAACCGGTCCGATCGCATATTAATCTTACAGCGAAAACATTTTGTCCTTTTCAGTGAAAAGTGGTCATATAATAAAACTCTTATCAACYGAGCTTGGTCGGTCTGTACGGGATAATCTTGACTTAATCAAGATTATCCCGTACAGACCTCCCGCTCGGTTAATAAGATCTAAATATTGATAAATATAGGGAAACATGCTGGTTGCCATAGTAGTGGGAATGCTTGCCTTTTACTAATATATGTGACCCGGGTCATAATCTTGGAGAGAAAGGTTGCTTATTGCCAGTTCTATCTTATCCATTTACCAGGAAAAACTGGAAATTCCAGTTGGAAAAACAAATGGTATGTATCTTCTGATTGGAAAGTTCCAGAAAACTCATCTTGCGATAACTTTTCCTGCTCTTTTTGGATCTTCCAGTAGACACGTATACCATCTKTCAGAATTCAAAATTTCCCCCTCTTTTCTTATCATTAGCAAACAAATTTCCAACTGGATGGATTATTTCAAATGGTAAGCACCCAAGTTTTCTTCCCTCTGCAAAAAGCAACTTYTAAATTTCAATTGGAGTTCAGTGGAAGAAGGTTCACCCTGTGGAACCACTGTTAAATCCCTTTATTATCCTGATTTTTTTTTACCTAATTGGGCTTCCTGTGTTCTTAGTTGTTGATCATTGCATTTATTGAAACAAAATTATTACCTCAAACTCCAGTTATCTAGAAGTTCCCAGTTATCTTGAACTTGAGGATGCATGCATCTTATAAACTTGCATTATTGAAATATTTTACCCTCAATATCTCAAATGCTCATTATTTCAAACCTCTTTCCTGGTCCCCAGGAGTAAAAGGGTTCAATGTTCCACTGTTTTTATCCCCACTTGATTATTTACCTTCATCGGCTGTGAGCCCAAAAAACCTCTCCTTCAGAATTGGATCTCTTTCATTCCACAATGCCAGGCCAAAGCAGAGATGACACTCCTCATCTGTAATTCCCAACAGACCATCTTCTCCCCAGCGGTATGAACGAGACCGTGCATGGTCATGAGGTAAGTATTCCCAACTAAAAGAGCACATAGCATTACTTTTTATGTTTTAATTCGATAAAATGCATAGCTTTTGTTGAAAAAAGCCTGGGGTGACATGTAATTAATTTCATTTAAACACCAAGACAGTGTCGCTAGATCTTCTCTCAGTGTATCACCATCAGTATTCATAAAGTTCTGTTGTTCTTTTGACACTCAAAATCTAACTTGTCATCCAATGTAGATATATGGATATAAAAGTSAAGACAACTCAAAAAACAGTAAACCGATCCTAGGCCTAGCTATTATGCTTAAGTGCCCAAACAAACAATTGGTAGTTTTTCCAATGGAAATACATAATGTCTGACCAACAAACTTGAATTCATAAGATTTTTTAGTAGTTATCAAATTTTTTCTTGATGTACCTTTAGAATTCATTGACTCTAACACAGACATTTACAAATTTCAGCAATTGGTGTCTGTTAATATCAAACACATTTTAGCTTGTCTGACATAGAAAAAGTAACTAGGGAGCTAGAGGTAGAACAATGAATGTGGGAAATTTTTAGATTTGAGAWGATCGACATTTGAGATGTCTCAACCAAAAGATCCAGATATCACACAAAACCGGCTATGCCTTGTATGACTGTTACGCTTCTTTTGTGCTTATTAAGCAACCTCCCATGTGCATCCAGAACTGCATATATTATGCATGCTAAGCATTGACCATTCCTTAATTAAAGCAATACTTTGTCTCATCAGGACTGCTATACAAACCACCCTATAAATAAGGATTTATACACCTATCAATGTTAAGCCAGCCCCAAGGGGGGAGGGGGAGCAACCCCATGGGAATCGACATTATTCAGAAGGGAGGTGTGAACTGTTTACACATAACATCAGGGTCAAATTACTATTCTCGTGCAGGCTAGGTTTTTGATTGCCTCAACATTGACTTGGCATTGTTTTCGAATTCTTTCTTTAATTTAATTGGTTCTTGGTTAGTCTATAGAGGATAACATTTGACAGTAATTCAACTGATAAACTCATAGTCACATGGTCATCCAAGCCACGCGAAGGCCTAACCATTTGCAAATGTAATTACAAAGGCAGCACCTTTTCCTCAGTTATTTTTAGTCCCGGCAAGGCTTGAACCGGGATCTCCCACACAACAGACCAGTGCTCTTACCAACTTAGCTAGCTAACCATGGTGGTGTGACAGTGCATTAATCTATGTATTGATCTACAAAACCCAGGGGAAAATTTTCAACGTTAAATGAACTTTGGTCTTTGATTTTTATCATATCCATTAAGCTTAAAAAGTCTGCTATTATTGCAACAAACTGCCTCACCCAATTAGTGTATATTATATTACCAGTGCTTTAACAGCTGTTTCTACAGCTACTATATATAACTAATAATAAGTTTATTAATGATAAACTACCATTACATCTGCAACAAGCCACAAGAAAGAATGTTATTCAAATTCCAGTAATAAAAGACTCATTTTTTAAGCGTTGCTGGAAGAAGAAGAGAAGTACACACCCAGAAAAGGTTGAAATTTGAGAGGAAACGCGTTACAGTATTAGAACAGTTACAGTAACAGAAGTGTCATTAGCTACAAATATATTAAACTTACGAATTGCCTTGTGCGGAGTAGTCTTCTCGTAGTGTCCCCCACTGTCTCTCACCCAAATAAGGTCCCCAGCGTTTCCAGCCTACTTTCGCTTGTGAATCCTCCTTGAGTCTCTTCGTCTCTTCCATCGGATGTTCCAGGATCAACGACGCGTGCTGGTGCCTGAGTGAAGAACGCTTGAACATTTTAGAGCTGAAGTAATAACTCGAGTTACTTTCTCCGCACTGACGAAAAACACAACTTGTGGTAGAGAGTTTCTGTGGGTAAAGTAGAACACAATTGCGTATTATGAGATGTCAAACTGCACGCGTATATGACTGTCAAACTGCACGCGGACCTAAAATCGTGAGTAGAAACACGAATCGCAATCAGCTGTCATTCAATCGAAACGCGCCAAAGAATTCCAAATAAATAAAAAAGAAGTAAATATGATTAAAAATTCCACTAGCTGTTGGAGTGAAAATATAGCTTACCTCTTACAAGACATGAGGCAGGGAGACTTGCAAAATATATTAAAATCACGATAAACAAAGACAATACTTGACATATGTCTTTGCGATGTCCGTGACCTTAACATACATGTCTTAGAAGATGTCTTCATTTGGATATACCACAGCTAGCCCAGTCGATAAATGTCGAAATCTTAATTTAAAAAATTAAATGCTATTTTATAATATTATATAATATTAAATTATATCATATCAAATTATATTTAATCCCTCCTTATGATATATAAATTAAGACTTATTAAAACTTTTTTTTTACATTTTTTTTGGAAATATTGTTTTTGGGATACCTTTGTGTAAAAGAACTCGCGCCATTCTTTCCTTCGTACACACGTCCAACATGGCGGCCAAAGTGGATGAACATGCAGTGAACGAGTTGCTGCCATTTTTAGACAAAAATGCTCGCGAAGATGTAAAATATTTTGCCCTGGACTATATTACAGGCCTAACTGGATCAGATGAGGGTAAGATGTTCTTGCGAAGCCACCCGGAATTTATTTTAAAGATAACCAAGTTAACACGTGATCCTAGCAAGACGATCTGTGGCAAAGCATTGACGGCTGTTGTAAATCTCTCTGCAGAAATTCCCACCGCGGATATTATCCTAAAATGTGAGAATTTAGATGAGTTGATTGAAATGACTTTGGATCCAAAGTTTGAGGAGGCAGATAAAATTGCTTTCATTCTTTCAAACTTGACGAGAACTGAACAGGGTTCTCAAAAACTTGCTTCTTCTCCGAGCTTCGACATGTTCAAAATCGTGGATACTTCCTCTAAACTAGATCACAATCCAAATGCAAAGCTACATTATTTGGCACCTATGTTGTCGAACTTGACTCAATTGAAGGAGGTGCGTGAGATGGTCTTAGACAAGAGTCGATGTGTTATACAACGGCTTCTTCCCTTCACGGTGTATGAAGAGTCTCTTGTCAGAAGGGGAGGTATGGCGGCTGTATTAAAGAACTGCTGTTTTGATACTGGTGAGTCAGCATTTGAGGTAGGATAGGTGTATTAATAATAAATTGGTTAGCTATCATTGATTCTTATGAAGAGAGAAAGACCAGAGAACCTGGAGAAAAACACTCAAAGTAGCGTTGTGTTACCTATCATTGATTTTTATGGAGGGAGGAAGATGGGAGAACCCAGAGAAAAACTCTCAAAGCACAGGAGAGAACCAACAGGCTACTCTACTCAAACAAAAAAATGGAATAAGGACATGAACCCAGGTTGCAGTGATGAGAGGAGAGTGACCCCATCACTACATCAACCATTAACAATTCTCATAATGGCTGACGAGTGCACAATGATGAGGCCATACAGTCATCAAGCAAGGCTGCTCATTCAAAATAAAGGGTGATAGCACAAATTCAGGTCAAAACAAAAGGTCAATTTCTATACTTTTCTTTCTTTTTCTTCTATGAATGCATTTCATGTGCTAAATTGTGAACTAATGGGTTGGGTGACCTCTTTTTCATGCACTTATCAGCCATTATGAAAATGTATGTTTCCTTCACATGTTAGCAGTGTACCTATGATTCACTTTCCTCAATGGGGGAAGTCAACATCTGTTGTGAATAGCACACTATACTTTCCCTATTATCTAACCTTTGATCATATGTAAATCATCCAATAGAGTACCATGAATGGCTATTGAGTGATGAGGTAGACATACTGCYGCACCTTCTTTTGCCGCTGGCTGGTGGAGAGGAGTTAGATGAAGCTGATATGGACAAGCTGCCTCCAGATTTACAATACCTTGATGAGAATAAACAGCGTGAAGCAGACCCTAGCATTAGAAGAATTTTGATTGAAGCACTTACACAGGTACCTACATTACAAATACACCATTAAATCCTGGAATCCACAAGTTAAAATTTTACGCAAGACAAAAAATTATGTCTGCTAATGATAACCTATAACATAGTCTTTTCAGTTTTGGTGCATTTACTGTTGTCATTACCCCCTTGAGAATAAAACTATTTCTGCAAGATATACCATTGTTATTATATTTCCTCAAAGGTTATCAGTAAACAATAAAATGATACTTAAGGGAATAACAAGTGGTTTGGAATGGAAAAATATTTCACCCAAAAGGTCAATTATTATCAGTACACTGGAAAAGAAACCGTTTTTTTTTTTGTCTGAGAGCAAAGGTCGTCAAAAGATAAGCAGAAACCCAGTTGTACAAGCAAAGAGGAACGAGAAGTAAATTGTTTACTGAAAAAGTACTTGCTGGACTGAACTTGACTGGCTGTAATGTTTTGGTTATGACTTTGAAACTATAATTTCAACGTTGTCTGAAACTGCTTTCATTCTTAGTCTACCAAGACTTCAGAATCGCTGGATTTTAATCTTGATAAAAGTCTTTGAAATTCATTATCTGCTCCAAATGATGGTCAAACACTAACCACCATATGCTGTCAAACAGTTCATTGGAAACTTGCGATTCAACTGATTATTATTWAAAAAATCTACACGAGACATGGAATGACGTAAAATAAAACCAAAAATATTTAATGACCTGACGTGGGATTAAATATTGCATCCACTTGGGTCTCTTYGGCGCCAGTAAACTTTTTATGTTTCTTTGTTTTTCCAGCTTTGTGCAACTTCACATGGCCGCAAAGTAATGAGAGAGAAACATATATATGCAATCCTGAGAGAACTCCACAAATGGGAAAAAGATGAAGAAGCAAAGAAAACGTGTTTGAATTTGATTGAGATACTAATCGCTGATGAACCAGAAAAAGGAATGGAAAACTTGAAGGAGGTCGTCATACCTGAGGATTTTAATATCCCTGAGGAGGATAATTAATATGATAAAATAGATAGAGTAGCTGAGGACAGACAGAGGGAGAGATAGAAAGACAGACAGACGGGTAAAGATCGCGGCAAGTGTACATTTTATATTTTTCCTACCACATTATACCGCTAGTAAATGAGTGTGTATATCTTTGAAATATTGACCAAAGGTCGTTGAACAGAGGGTGGTCGCCTTAATTGGTCTGGTCGTCTAGGATTTCTGTATTTAACCTCGATTTACCTCTAATAAAAAGAAGTGACAATCGTCATAATGAGTCATGATTTTTAAAACTGCCCACGTATGCTGGCTTAACCGTTTCTTTGCGTTATCGTCAATTTTCTTGCAACTGCTGATGTACTTGTTCAGTTGTAGTATTTATTGTTGTAATYATTGTTGTTGCTGTTGTATTTTTTTGTTGTTGTAGCTATTGTTGTATATATTTTTGTACTTGTCGTATTTGTTGTTCGATTCATTGTCGTATTTATTGTTGTTGTTGCTGTTGGTTTTTGTTGCCACCGAGTTGTTCCTTTCCTCATTTATAGCTGTTCTAACTTCAGGCGTCCCATTGCAAATATCTTAAATAATAAAGTTATTTTCGTCTATTTCCAGAAAAAGAAAAAATACAATGAGCAGAAAATAATACTCAGTTACGGTCTGATGAAAGATATGACCGGACGGTAGGAATAGACAATAGAAGGGTCGAGTTCAAACTYACAAGTGACTTTTCATTTACGGACCAAATCCACTTGGGCGTCCCAATGTCCTGCCATTGCAGACCAAGTGTCATTCTCTTGAGAATAAGATTCTTTGTTTGAGTTGTATCCGTATTCCGTGTGTCTTCTCATGCGCKACCGTTAAACAAAGAAATAATACTCTAGAGAATGACACGTGGTCTGAAATGGGAAAACAGTGGATCAAGTATAGTGTAATGCCCCTGTATATTAACTTTTAATGATCGCTATAGTTTTACAATTTGTAACTTTGTATGTAGTGAGGGCCGTAAGTTAGATAACTCACTGGGTTAATACGTCACCCTCTTTGTAAATRTAGTTTATTGATTGATCGATTGAATGCAGGAGTCAGTGTGGTTTAATACAATGAGAATATTCATATCGGTCTTGCATAATAGTAACTGTTGGATATGCTATGCGCATTAGAAAACGGCGAATTGCTTCAGATACATGACGTTCACTAGCCGCAGGGAAAGTCAGGAAATGACATTTTGGTGGACAACACTGGTAAATTATAATGTCACAAAAGTGTCTAAATATCCACAAATACCAACAGTAAAGTAAAGGATGCACAACTTCAAAAATACAAACACTTTGAAACTYGACGGACCTTGACTGAGACACCTGAATAATCTACACAAAATCGAGGCTAAGCGTGAGTAAATGAGTCTGTAATCAAGGAACACAGCGGTAGTTTGGAACTCTAAAATGGTCCGATTGGGGAAACTTTTCGCTCACACGCACTACCACTACATTTAATATTCTATGCACACAACGCTCAACTCATGAGCTATACTATTATACTATATACTCTTACTCATTCTCTTAGAAACTCTTTGGAATGTTCATTTTAATATATAGCTTTATTCCGGAAAATCTCACTGCAGTACTATGATTCCGATACTTGAAATTTAGGTTGAACTTGGTCATTAAGCAGGTGTTAATTGGCGGAAGTTAAACTCATTAATTTCGACCACGCATGAAATGATCCCCTTGAACTGCTGACCTCTTGAAGCGGAAAGAAGGTTTCTTTTACGTAAAAGAAGTTCGAGGGTCGTGCATACAATTGCTCGGCTCATTTAGCCTACACACTAGTTCTAGCTCCTGTAACTATCAAAGGAAATTTTGTTTGAAATTATTTAATTCAAAAAACAGAATCTTTATTTGTTCCAGTTTTACTTTGAATGGAAATAAATTTGAAATTTAATTACTCGTGACGTCACTAAACTTGGACTTGGCAGCGAATGTCTCACTAGATCGATACTTATCTTGATTTTTTTCTCCGATAAAAAGCGATAAACTGATTTCAAGGCTTAATGAATAAATTTTCAAACAAAACGTAATTAAGGTCAATGAAATAGGAYGTTGGGGAAGTGGTTGAAAATCATCACGAAACTTGACCTCAATGAAAACGAGTGAATGCCAGGACGACAACTTGAAAGATGTCGTTCAAAAGCTGCACGAAAAAACCCTCATAAAATATAATGGATAACACATGTTACTATAAGAATATAAAAGTCAAATTAGTATATGTAATAGGACTCCATGCTGTCCAATTAAGAAAWAATTGGACGAGGAAAATTCCGAGGACTTCCAAAATTTGATGAGGCCGTAGGCCGAGTCCAATTTGGCATTCAGAAGAATTTTTCGAGTCAAATATTAGTCTACAGTTTCCATTAAAAGTAATTTAGATTTGGCTCTCAAGAGTGTTTTAATACACTGACCACACTATTTTATCTATTTTTATGTTGTAAATTGATTTATTAGTACAAGAACTACTGTTTGGAGCTTAGGAAATCGCAACGAAGGAGTCCATCGTACTGACACTTGTCACACCATAAACTTGTCACTATTCGAAAACACTTTGCTCTGAAGCAGCCAGTTCTTTTTCATGCAGTTTCACGCTTCGAAACTCTCGCCAACCGTTGAACATCTCGGTAGGTTATCGACCGAGCAACGATATCAGARAACACTTTAGATATCTAATAAAAGTATTTAAACAAATATGGGGAACCTAAAATCATAGCGAGGTATTTCCTGTTTCTTAGAGCGTTTCGCCGCAGTGTTTACGATACTGAAGAGTTGTTTATCCAGAGAACTGTAAACTAAAAGGTGCCAGGTTATCCAGCTTCGAGAGCGCAGGATTTAACTCACGCTTGCTAAATAAACATATATCGCTTGATCGGGAAGGAAAATTCAAGCAAACGTGTTTCCTGCGAGGTTTCCTGTTAAGCTTACTGRTCAAGATCGATACAAAGATCAAAAGGCCAAGGGCATTGCTATGGCAAACCTACGTCATTCGAAAACGCTGAATTTGCTAAACTTCATGATTGTAATTAACTGCTTTCCTCATTGGGCCCAGTCGTACGAAAGGTGGATAGCACTATCCGATGAAATTTTATCCAGTGGATAAATTTATTGGATAAGAGCATCGACTTATCCACTGGATAACGATTTATCCGCCGGTATGGGCTATCCACCCTTCGTACAACCGGGTCCTGGGGTATAAAAGGCGTCATGGTGTAATCTTAATTACAAATGCCAAGTCTTGTGTGACTCTATAACAACGTAGATTTCTTTATTCGCCAAAATTAAGAAACATTTCAATAATAGAGTACAAACACTATAAGTGTGTAACATAAATACCAATAAATACTGCTAAATTATGCTAATCCTATTGTTTTCTATTGTTTAATTAGCACTATTTACCGTAGTAACTAGTGCAAAGTGTTGCACACTTTCGTACTCTATCTTAAGCAAAATTTATCGTTGTTTTGTTGCTAGGCTTAAAAAAAGCTCGAGGCTCCAGTGAATATAATACTGTTTTAAAGTGAGCAAACAAAACAGAGAAACAGTAGTAGAAGATGAAGTTGAGCACAAAATGTCTTCAAACTCCCAGCGAGCAAGGTCAACATAAGTGGCGTGTGTCAACTTGTGTAATCTTGCTGAACAGTTGCTCGAACTCATAAAATTTTCAAAAAATAATATTCACAAAAATAGGGAGAAAGGAATATAAGGAATCTTTAAATTTTTAAAGCAAAAATATAGGGGAGGAATCTATAAACTTGATCTGAATGCAGGGATATTCATAGTTTTGTACTGCGTAGTATTAAAAAATTTTCACCAGGTTATCAGTACTGACATAGTAGTAGAACGGCTCATCTAGCACAGTTTCAAGTGCAGCTCTTTCCAGTGTTGGCCTTGGCCTTAATAAAGTTGTTTCCAAACTTTTCAATTACTTTATTTACAGGGGAGGGGAGGTTAGAGCGATAAGTTGATCTCTACYCCTAGCAGCACGATTATCGAAAACAAGAATAAACCAGAATTGAATTCAAAACAGTATGGCCCAAAAAACGTCAGAAGCTCTCACTAAACAATGTCTATATTGTTGGTATTTGACAAACTTCGAGTTCAAGACTGATTATAAAGTTTATCGAAAGTTTTGTAGAGGTTTGCTGTTTCCCGCTGGGCAACCAAGTAACTTTGAGCGGGACACTACGTAAACTTGACCTTAAGGTGTATATAACTGCGCATGCGTGAATTCGGGCGAGCGAACGCGCGCTTCTCGTCACGAATCGTATGTCTCGCTATCGGATATCATCAATGTGCRAAAGGTATATAAGAGAGTTGTTTTATTAACATAAGCAAATAAATAAAAAGGAATTGGAACATGATTTTCGAAAAGTTTGTAAGGTTTACAAAAACTATTACAACTTTTGTGGGGGAAATACGTGACACAAGCGTTACGTGAAGAGAAAAAAAGAAAAGAAAAAAAAGCAAGAACAAAAGACTCAGGACGATAACATAAACAGGTAAACAATTTTTGATTTTCTTATTTTCTGTTGCTTTGTATTACATTTTTCCCATTCTGCTTGAAAAATTTATGCGAAAATTTTACCTGAAAGCTGAAAATTTAGCGAAAAATGACTGGAATTGTAGTTAGTGAAAAACCGTTCCGCAAGAGGCATTGACAGAGGTATTCTACACTCCTGACCCTGGTGTTAAATGGTGGTTGAAAAAGCAAAGCAAAAAAAAAAAAAAAGTTTTGTAAATTTGAAGTCAATTTTTTGCGTGCACTTTTTGGATAAAATTATTTGTATTGATGCTAAGAGGAATATTTTAGGAGTTCCCTCAACATGCACAAACTTCTTCAAATTGCGCGTCATCACCAGCTTTTAACAGGATATGATGTAGGGTGGTTTTCGAAACGGGAACAGAATTGATTTGAATGATATATCACTTGTACGTAGTAATTGAGAGTACAACAAATTTCAACAAATTTCCGTAGGATGCGATGCACCTGAWTGAAACAATTTTTTGACTTGACCCATAAGCACGTTCCTGACTGATAATATCAATCAAAGCTACAATGAAGCCGAAACTTGATCCTACCTAAGCATAACCTGCCTGCATGCAGAACGTCACATTTAACTACTTATCATTTGTGACAATTCTGACTTACACTAATTAGTTTATGTTAAAATAAGCTTAAACATTGTAATTGGCAATTTCATGCAAACCACACCCGTGTGGGGTGGGGTAGGGCGTGGAGGTTTCCACACTCGTTTATAGGGAACTAAATATAAGTGTCTTTCACTGAAAATAATTTGCAGAAAAACTAGTTTGTGATGCGTCATAAATATATATCATATATATAAAAAAGAAATTTCTTCGCTCTTACTCGAGCTTTTTTCGGACATCACACCAATTTTTWAAATGAAAATCAGAAGTTCAAAACTCTAGAACTATGAATACTTCAGCGTGCTAAAACGTTTTACTTAAGGTACAGTAAGGCATAATAGAGTTTCATACCTGATAAAGATGGATGACAAGGCTGTCCCACTACTACTTTAGCTGTTTTTAGTAACGTTGCCTGAGGATTCCCTATGCGGATAGTTTTAAACTGATTCTSATAGGTTTTGCTTCATTTCTTGTGCTGTCTTTAACCTCACTTCATTTGTTATTTTAAAAAAGATTGAACAAGCGAGAGTTTTCATTGTTTTTTGGTGGGGTATGTCGGCTAGCATGAGGGTCTTGACGTTACTAGTCGGGGCGCAGTACACAATGAAACAATTTGAAAGACCCCAAGACAAATCCTTGCACCATCCAGTTGAATAACTATGTGTTGATTTCATTTCTATCACATATCGTGCCAGTAGCCTGTTTTTCTTCGAGGMTTGTGCTTGCTGGGTCATGTCACGTAACCTTTCACTTTGTCACGCTCTTCGACAGAATACTCGGAGCCTGGGCACGAGTGCTATTCTTTTCCGTGCGGGCTTTCCTAAGAGGGTCTTGGTAGCACCACACGGGGGTGACTAGGTGCATTGAGCATGATAATCGAAAGTCAGTAAAAAGTTAGTATTACCTTATAGAGAGAAATTTATCTTAGTAGTTTTAGGAAGCCAAAATTAGGTTTAATCGATTGAGTAGGATGGACAATAATTATAAGAACTCGCTATTAAAAGAAGGGAAATTTTAATGTCCCCACATGTCAATGGGATCATTTGGCGAAGTGACTGATAAAATAGACGYCATCGAAAAACTGTCCCCTCAAACGGTCCCACAATGCACTGCAGTGCCAAATCAACCCAGGTTTTTCCTCAACCACTGGGCTATATTATATACATATAATATATATTATATTATAGCGATACCAATAAACAAAGAAGCAATGCGGAGCGAATTAATGATATTCTTAAAAAACTAGCTTTTTTTCACGATGTATGACGTTTAAAACCTTTTTCCCGCGTTCAACATTAGTGACAACATCAGTGTTAAGCAAAAGTCTTCGTAAAAAGCCGATAGATCGTCGATTAGTTATCGACTGTGATAGAAATTCAGTCTTTCCAAAGAACTGCTTCCATTGATTGAACAAGAATGCACTGATCTTAAGCCCCGTTTACACTGGCGATTTTGCGGCGATTTTTGTGGCAATTTTCGGAAATATGAAATATTTTGTCTCATCCTTCAAAAGAGACATTCGTCTAGGAAAATCTTGGTATCCTGAAAAAAAAAACTTTACAAGTAAATTCTTTACCATTATTTATTATGGACAAAATCGCAACAAAAAAAAAATCGCCGCAAAAATCGCAGCAAAAATCGCCGCAAAGATCGCTCGTGTAAACGGGGCTTTAGTTTAGGTGTAATCATGTACATTCTTTTTCTATCGCTATCAAAACCCGAAACAAGCAATTTATATGAATGAAATTCGATTCTCTGATCGTGAGATGAATATCCGTTGTTTCCCAGATAATATATAGGGTCTGTTACTCAGGGTCACTTGGGCCCTGAAACTCTCTCCTTCCGCCCCTTGAAATCTATAACTGTTGTGATCTTCTTCAGTAAGCAAATCTACAGTTTCGTTTTTCAAAGTCATAGGCATAGGTACTAAAATAGACCTCTCAGTTACCTCAGTTCGGCGTAATGTCTTGCTGTTTCAGATCACTTGTCATTTCTTAGAGAAGGCACAAGAGTACCTAGTACGCATTCTCCGATACCTATCTTGACGTCACGAATTACTCTCGTTTCCAGATCACTTTTTCACGGCCAATTTGACACAGAAAGCCTAGAATAGAGGAATTTCCCAATCCACTAGCCTGCGCTGCATCCGGAATTTTCTGTTGTAAACGTTCGGAGGCACGCAGGCTACAATCCACCTGATATGTATATCATTTGAAAGCTGATGATTTCTAGAATTCGACTAAAGTGGTTTGTTCTTAGGGGTTATATGAACTTTAAGAGAGTTACTGACACGTGGTGTGAAAAGATTACACCAAAGGTAACTGAAGAGGTCTATCGAGATCTATCGAGTTTCCAGTGTCGGTCAGTGTGAAGCCCAGTAAAGAACGTTTTCAGCCATAAGGCTGGAGTCACGAGAATAATTTAGTACAACAAATCTACGTTCCTTAAAAAAACTGCTGGATAAAATAATCAGGGGTAACGATAGCCGGTCATTAAAGGACAATGTCCGGACAGAAATGAAGCTTGTCCGGTCAGGAAATCTCTTGCTGCCGGTCATTTTGACCGACCACGATTTTAATGTCGATTGGTTTGCTTCTGTGTTAATCATGAGTTTATGACATAACTAATCCAATATGGCGGCGAGCAAACACGATGCAAGTGAAAGAGATTTGCGCATGCTCCAAGTCCGTATACGAATTAGTCGAAAAGTCTTCATGCTATTGTTAAAATATGTAAATTTGACTTTCAAACAAACCTGATAAATGGACTTCACAAAAACATTTTGAAGAGTAAATTTTAAAAAATCCACTGAAATTTCCAAGGGAGAAATCGTCGATTTGCAACATACGCTGGAAAAAAAAAAAAAAAAAAAAAAAAAAAAAAAAAAAAAAAAAATTAATTAACAAAAACAGAAATATTTAAAACTAGAATATATATAGTATGGTATGGTAGCTGCACTATTTACGAAAAATTGTAATTTTGCATTTTAATAAATCTCAAAACTGCTCAAATAATCGTATTACAAAGATATTATTATTCAGGAAGTTATCTCCTGTCATTGCAGAAGATCTAATATTACAGAATATTCGTATCTTGTTCGGTTCCATGCTGGTATTAATAGCAGTAGCCTTGTACGAAATTCACCTTGCACGTGGTGAGCACGAGGAGATGTACTGGCACTTGCATGGCTTTCTTGCAGCACTGCATTCCTATTGGTTCATGGTACATACGAAGCGCGTGTATACCTCTGTCCTGTGATGATTTCGCTCTTGTTAAACATACCCGTTAGATCTCGAGGAACTGTTATATCAAAGATGACCTTGTCCATAACAGTTCTCTTGAGATAATCTGATAAATACAAGATAGAAGATTTTTTATCGGATATATCTAGTTGTTTTGCATAGCAGTTTGGCGCGCAATTTTGCGTCTCTTCAAAATGGATAGCTTCAATAGCAATATATTCAAACTTTCGTCCAATTTTCAAAGTTCGAAGGAAAGGGTCCTCCAAAAATTCAAGAAAAACAAGCAGCCAGTGATGCCAAAGCACCTTCGTCGGTTATACAGCTCAGAGCTCTTCTTGAACACAGAATTCGAAGAACTTGAACGTATCGAACAAAGGCAAAACACAGGCTTGCAGAAGTTATGGGACAACCTACGAGCTGGGAGCTTCAACCTCCCAGATATGCGTTCTTACATCCAGAAGGAGATGTTACCAGGTGATGGCAACGGGTTGGAGAAAAAACCCAATAGTTACATAGAATTTATCAGGAAGATTGGAAGAAAGAAAGCCAAGAGAAAACCCTCTGAACCTGATGTAATCTGGGACCACCCTAGTGAAGAATCAACAAGACTACAAGAAGACAAAGAAAATGATGTTAAATGGCGTACTTGGGGACCTTATCTGTCAGAGAGACAGTGGGGAACGGTACGGGAGGATTACTCTGCCGACGGCAATTGGTAAGTGACYGGCATTTACCGACCCTTTTTTTAACTTTGTATAATTAAGTACAAGGGAGTCTTATTGCTCTGAAAGTACAGCGAGAGAGTGAGCGGGGTACCTTGTATAATTATTATCAGATGCTTGCCATCACTTTTTCCAGGCATAAAAAAAAAGAAAAAAAGATGATGATGATGATACTAGTAAATTTGATTCCAAACCTTAGATTCATAGCTATATACTTTGTCAAAAATCGAATAAAATTCGAAAAACGCAAATACTAGGTCAACTACTTAAACTACTTATCGACCTCGATAAACATCATTACATAACTAGCGGCTTTGTTTGTAAACAACAGGGCCGGAAACCGTAAGTCGATATCTGAGACCCGAGGTAACACTAAGGTCCTTACCTATCCACTCTTTACTGCAACGATAGCTGTGAAAACACCTTAAAATGCTATTTAGTGTTGAGAAAGTGAATTTTCTTAAAATGGTTGATAAAGTAACTCAAACTTTCTCTCTCGGTCAATGACGTTATATTCTGTTGGACACGAGTCCAGGCTTGTAAAGAGGCTCACAAGAGCACCCACCCACCGACCCTACCCTTGAACTTATTTTTGACCCTGGTCGTATGCGAGCTGTGGCATGTTGAACTCCTTTGTCAACGACAAAGAAAGATCACGCAGAGTAAAATTAGCAATTGAAAACAAATTGTAAGGAAAGGATATGTCGCTTTTTTTTTTGTCCTTTTTTTTAATCCTCGTTACCCTACGTCGCTTTCTCAATATTTCTTCCTTTCTTTACCATATATCTCAATATCTTCCTCCCTATTCCTTTGGATATCCTCTTAAATTCATCTTCGTTGCTTTTCCTTTGTGATTTTTATTTTTTATCATCATACTTATTCGTTCTTATTGTCGTTTGTCTTCTTTTTCTCGTCTTCTCTTCATTCTCGTCATTCTCCTCTCGGCTTATTTTGCCCAAGTCTTTTCATCTTGTTTAATGAACTAACTAAACTCCATCCTTTCTTACTTATTTCAGTTGGGACTACTTTCCTCACGATCATGCTAGGTCCCGTGCCTATCGATGGGGCGAGGACGGATTGCTCGGCATAACAGATGAAGAATGTAGGCTCTGCTTCGGTCTTGCGCTGTGGAATGAGAAAGACCCCATACTGAAGGAAAGATTATTTGGACTCACAGGAAACGAAGGTAAGATTTCAGTAATCCCCAAGGAAAATATAATGAAATATATATTATTTTGGGGCGTAAGTGACCTTTTGGATGAAGACCAAGGTCAACCAATCCCGCATCGAAGAATTTTCACAGATATTCCTCGAGTAGTTTCCGATCTTTTTGAAATTATCTTTATGCCCTCCTGGATTCGAGCCAACTCGACTTTACGAGCCTGCGCACTCGAGAAGAGAAAGATGGCGGACACAACTGACGTCATTGAATTATTTTGCGTAAGTGACCTTTTGGATGAAGACCAAGGTCAACCAATCCCGCA